AACACCCGGAAAAACAAGATGCACGTACGTGTGTTGGGAGGTCCTACATGAAGGCATAGTCTACACGTTGAAACGTCGCCTATATGGTACCTACCGTTGAAGAGAAAATATCATGCTAGCTAGCGGAATAAGAGCAGGAACAAGTCTCTCAACCCGCGGGTACAGCGCACAGCACCGCTGAACAACTGGCACAAGAGAACCTGAGGCTACCGAAAGCGCCACCACTCAATAAAAAACTTAGCAGTTAGGAACTTGAGCCTCAAACAATCCAAAATCTAAGATATTGGTCATGAGAACAGGTGCTGAGATCCGACGTGGCAAAAAAAACAAAAACCCGCCCTTGCGGTGTACCAATGCGCACAAAGATAGGAACGCAGCCAAAAAACGCTGCGGCTGCGAGATAAGAACTCAGGACGGTTGGGGGTGACCCAAACAGCAGCTAGGTTCAGCTTCGAGGCCGGGGGGGGGAGGACCACCTGATAAAATGCCTGTACGCGCGGAGGGGGAGGACGTACCCTTTCTAATGTTTCGAATGTTTTGACGGTTAGACCATTGATGATCACACTTCCTCGAGAGGACGCATTAATGTCCCACCAGGACCGATAACCGATGGCCAATCGTTTTTCCTACTTCGAACTACTTTACTATAGGTGGCTCAAAAATGTTTTACCCTAGCCAATCTATCCTATCGACATCACTTCCCGCCTGTTCCACCCATTTCCTATGCCCCGGTACAGCTACCGTCAACTCCTGGCTATTCGATGCGTCAAACATCTCTCTGTACCTTTTCCTTCTAACTTTCCCAGTTCAGGCATGTGTATTTTCCCTCTCCTTCTTGTACAACGGACATTCCGCAAGTACATGAACGAACACGGTCTCCGCACTCGGAGCCGCATTCCCATCTGGATTTGTCCCTTCATCGTCTACATTTCTTATTCTTCGTCTACGTTCTCAGCACCACCAGTCCATTTGCTACACGTTTCGGAATCAAAGCAGTTCGAACAGACGGGGTCAGCCCGGGGACACTCATTGTTCTCGCGCCCCCCCCTGCAGCTCTTGCCTATGATACTTGACGCGAGACGGGCTGGCTCAGCACTCGCTGCCCCTTTTTTGGCCAGACGTGCGACCAAAACCACGGATCGCGCGCAGTTACTCTGCTTGTTAGCATACCATGGTGTTGATGGATGTACTCGTGGAAAGAAGTAGTCATACTTCGACCGGTGGCTGCGTGAAAAAAAGCTTGCTGTACAAACGCATTCCAAACGAACACCAAGCAGCGACTAAGTAGTCCCCCGCCGCCCCCGCCCCCCGGCCAGCCCTCTCCCCTTCTTACACTGCCCTATTCATGATTATTTTCTCTTTTTCACGAAGAACCCCGAGAACGGCCTGAACCGTCTGTCGAAGTTCGTGTACTACGCCGGAGACGTCGTGGCCACCTCTGGATCGGAGGAGATCCTGCTGACAAGCACGGAGAAGGGCTCGAGCGTGCATTCCTCAGGCTGGGTCGGCTTCGCCCCCTCGAGCTACGCTGACCCCGAGGTACTTAACTTAATACATATACGTCAAGCTTGCTTTCTTCTGTTTCTGAGTACAATGTCATACTGGTTTGTTGGCCCTTGGTCGGGTTGGATAGAAGGAAAAGTTCGTTTTTTATTGTTCTACATGCAATGCCAAGCCTGCTTTCTTGTTGTTTTCGGTGGTTCCAAGTTGTTTTTTCTATGGATCGGGTCGGATAGATGTTTTTTTCGGTGGTGCCAAGTTGTTTTTTCTATGGATCGGGTCGGATAGATGGATACTTTCGTTTCTTCTTGTCTGAATATTGTAGGGTTGTCCAGATTTGCTTGATCGGTGTTTCGGAATATATCTGTCTAGTCCATTGGTCCAGAAGCCTTCAAGTTTACCCCGGCGCGGAGGTTTTGAATGCTTGGAAAGCCGATTCAACACATTTTGGAAAAGAGCTACATGCCTGGTTACACGCACCACCAGCGCCCCCGCTACACACAAACACCAAAAAATCCACCAACCGCCCAGAACAAATCGAAAACAGCTGCTGGGGAATGTGCTGCTATTTCTCTGCACAGGGAGCGTACCACGACATCTACTGGACCGTCGGCGACGGCGGGCCTCAGAACGACCCGGACAACAAGGCCCAGGACATGACCAACCTCCACGGAAGCATCGTGCGGATCTCGGTGCCGTCCACGGCGATGGGGACGGGCTACGAGATCCCCGCGGGAAACCCTTTCGATGGCGCCAACGGTAAGCGAGGGGAGAAGTCTACAGCTAGCTGCGCCATGATTTTGTTGTCTACCCCATACGGGTGGACACCAAAACACGTTTGGTTTCTGAGAGGTTTCCGATTCGCCTGTTTTTCTTTCAGGTTGGGGTTATGTTTGGGTAAATTAGATGAACCGTGCCAAAGGCGAAGAAGAACAAGTGGTAACAGTTTTTTTCGTACGAGCGCTCCGGCTTGATCCTAGAACTGCGGGCTTTCTTTATCCCACTCTCGATGGCATGAGGCTGTACACTAAGTTGTTGTACTCCAGTGGTAAACACACCCGACCACTTCTACCGTGCTCTCCGAAACATACTTCAGGCGAGAAGCCCGAGATCTGCGCCTGGGGCCTGCGAAACCCCCACCGGTGTGCCTTCGACACCGCGACCGATGAGCTCTACTGCGGAGACGTGGGGCAGGACAGAGTTGAGGAGGTCAACGTCATAGAGTGAGTTCTACGTCATGCCACGCTATGCTACGCTATGCTACGCTATGCTACGCTATGCTACGCTATGCTACGCTATGCTACGCTACCCTTGTTGATGTGTGCAGATCAAGGTCGCTCTGCCCCCCCCTACCCAGCGTAAAACGTTCTGATTTGGGCTTGGTTTGTGTCTTTCCTATCCCATTTAAACGCCACCGGGCATAAGCCCCTCATCCGTAGACAAACGAATAACTTCCAACACGCCTTCTTCATGACCACAACGGCTTTCTCCGTGCACTTCGTTCGAGTGTTCAGGGAAGTTCCTCACCCCCTCCCGGTGCTTATCTTGTACCCCAATGGAGAGGAGTTGAATCGACTCATCAGGCCTGTGTATTCCTTTCGGCATCACGCCCTGGAAACAAAAAGCAAGGAGATGGAATTCTTGCACGAACGCTTACCGATGTCTTCGTTTGGGGTAACAGCCGGGTAAATTTGTGTCAGCACGAGTGTCAGTCGCATGGAGATTGTCTGCCGTCGACTCTCACGCTCGTTTCGTTACGACGTCACTCGCCAGGTGCGGCAAGGACTACGGATGGAGGATGTTCGAGGGATCCCGCTGCAACGACGGTTTCGAGGGGTACGACGGCGGCGAGTGCTCCGGCCTGGACCGTGCGGACTATGCCTTCCCCGTCTTCGAGTACTGCCACGTCGACTACGATTCGTCCCAGGAGGAGTTTGATGCTTGCGGCGACAGGACCGTCACGGGACTCTCGGTCATCGGTGAGTTGGTTGCCCTTGGTGTTGTTATTGTTGTTGTTGTTGTTGTTGTTGTTGTTGTTGTTGTTGTTGTTGTTGATGGGGTTGTTGATATGGGTAGGGTTGTTGATATATTGCGTCCCCAAAACTGAAAATTTATAAATACCGAACACAAACAGCACACTATGTACACAAATTCGGACTGGGGCTTCAAATGTCTTTGCTTCTACTGCTGCTGTTATTGTTGTTGTTGTTGTTGTTGTTGTTGTTGTTGTTGTTGTTAGTTTCGTCCAATCTTGTCCCTCTAAGGGACCAGCGCAGGAGCAATCAATCAACACTAAGGTTGCCAGCCTAGAGTAGTACCAGAAACACGATATGGTACAACCGTCTGTTCCTCCGTTTCACGTGTGCCGTCCCCCAATAATACACACAACCTCGCCGCTTGCAAGGTTGGCCGTTTCCGGACGGGCATGCCGTGCTTCATACACCCCCTCCCCCCTTGTGCTTTGATGTGTGATTTCGTTTTTCTTTTTCAGGCGGCCATGTGTACCGCGGGGCAAAGTACGACGACATCCTCGGGGGACACTACATCTTCGCCGACCACAGTGTCGGGTGAGACAAGACAAGATCCATCTGTCCCGGGGTGGTGTATATCAGGCCTGGCAGTGGGGTTGAGGGTCGCCTCTAACCTATCGCCCCCGAGAGTTGGGCCCACATGGCATGCGTCGAACGCCCGGATTTCGACAGACGGTCGTTTTTGGTTGATAGATATACCGCGGTCGAGTTCGCTCCGTATTGCATACCGCGCCGTCGCCCCAACGACACTCTACTCGGTGATATTTGGTTTTTGGAAAAGGTAGTTGTGGTGCCGTGTTTTTGAAATCATCCCCCTTGCCGCATTTGTTTTGGTGCACACATGTATGTTTTCCCGCAGGAGTCTCCACCACCTTGCTCCAGCTGCGGGCGGCGGATGGACAGCTGGAACGGTCCTCAGTTCGATCCCCAAGATCGGCGGCTTTGCGGAAGGGAACGATGTGAGATGAAACGGGAAAGCAGGTCGATATATTTCACACTATACCGTATTTCTGTTAGACTTGACAATCTTTCTACGGGGAGGGGCAGGCGTTCAACACTCTCTTGCGGAGCCCCGCCGCCTACTCTAGCCGGGCGTAACCCTTGCCCGTGAAGCCTCAGCTAGATCCCGTTGGAATCTCGCCGAGCAACGATAGAACTACAGATGCAGCCTCATACCGAGCGACTTCTTTAAGCTGCTGGTAAGATGTCCCAGAAACCGCAAGCCTCACTCACTCTAAACATTAGTGGCATGTGCTCGCGGATTTATCCTACTCGTGATGCCAGAAGCAGGACAGACAATCTTAGACCAAATCCCGGAGCTTCCCTAACCCTAAACGCAAACCCTTTCCCCCGGCATGATCATGGTAAGGTAACACGCAGTACAAAAGCTTCACTCGTGTGTTTTCTGTATCCTACAGACGCACGGGGCCATCGCGGACCAACAAAACAACCCAAACCATTCCTAACCCTAGCGCTAACTAACCTCGGGGCACGGCCATCATGATCAGGGTGAGCTGTACATGGTGGGGTACCAGGGGAACATCTATGACCTGCCCTGCGGAGACCTGTGCGAGTCCGGAGAAGAACAAAAAGAGGCGTCGTCGGCCTGCTTGCCCCAGTCGGACACCACCCCAACCTTCGAGGAGATCGGGTGCTTCCTCGACGGCGAGCCGAAGACCATGACTCTCTCTACGGCCCCGGGGTGCGACGGAACGATGAACGCTGAGGTGATCGATCGCTGCTGCTGGTGCTGCTGGCGCTGCCGGCGCTGCTGGCGCTGTGTGTTGTCTTGTGTGAGCCGTAGTGACCAATCGCTTGCGGCTTCCAGTAGTGCGACCCCGTCTCGTCGCCCTCATCCCTAGGAGTGTGGAGCCCGACCCTCCCTGTGCCACATTGTTCACAATTTATCGAACTTATCTTGTGAACCCCGCCGCTCCCCTCTCTTTCGTCCCAATTTGTTTTTAGTAGATGTGTGCCAGCTTCTGTGCCACTGTGGAGGGAGCGACTCACTTCGGTCTCCAGTACCAGAGAGAGTGAGTTGAACATTTGCTTGTGTATACATAGGGCCAGCTGTTGTTCTTGAAGTCATTCCCAACATCATGTGGGTGGAATACACATGTAGGTTGGTTGGTAGTCCCAAATTCTTTGTCACTGGCAAGGGAAGGCTGAGCTATGAAGCTTGACATTATTCAACCCAACTAACATACTTTTCATTCACCGGATCACAAGCGGGATAGGTGTATTCGACGTCGAAATCCTTTGTCGCCCGCGCGGGAAGGCTGAGCAATGATATGAATACCTTTGAATTAAAACCCAACATCGTAGGCGGAATAGGTGCTTCATTCACAACGCTGCTACATGTAGATGCAAATGCGTTTTTATATATGTGATCACATGTTGTCTGTTTCCGCTCCCTTCGAGAGCTTTTTGAGAATGCGAAGAGGAGAGAGAACTCTTGGAAGGCTGGTTATTTTGCAATTTCACTCGAGTACCAAAACAGATCCGCGTTCGCTGGGGATCAAAGAAATGTACTCAATATCTATCTCGGTCTGAGGAATATGTTTTTTTCCCACCAGTCTTCAAATGACGGTCGGGGCAGGAGTGCGACTTTCGTCTCGAGACACGCGCGATTCACAACTAACTTTCGGGTGAGGGCTGAGATCCATGGCCCGGCTCTTGGGTTAATACACCGACAAGCCCCACCAGAGGGTAAAATTTCTTCGTATACCTACGTTGTGCTGTCGACAATGCAAGACGCAACACCGTCGATTAGGCTAGGAGGACAAGCTCACTTCCTCGTCATGAAACTACTGTAACTGAAATTCATAACTGGATGCCATATTTTTCCCGCCACCAGATGCTACTGCGGCGGAGAAGGCGATGACTATGTCCAGTACGGAGACCAACTGGACGATGCTGAATGCGACATGCCGTGCTCCGGTACGTGTTGGTATTGTTGTTTGGCTGCTGGGTGGTATGTTTCTGTTGTTCTGAGGGATGTTGGTGAATGTTTGTGTTGTGGTTACCACGGTGAATGAGCTGCAGCAGTATTTCCTTACAAGCACCTCGTCGCGGTTTCTTTCGGTAGCCGCAGCCAGGCTCGTCGTTGGCCAAAGAGTAGGAAACGCTTTCGAAGAGCAGTTTCGGACCAAGTACGCCAAACAACGAAGGCGTTTCGTATCCAAGGACACAACGATGAGGGACTCTAAAATGCCGAACCCGGTGTGCTCGTATGCGCACCTGATTTTGGCGAAACCCGGCGCAAATGGCGATTATCGGTGTACGTCTGGCAGAAGCAACAACTGATCAACACCACGGCTGGTTCGCGCATCAACAACAACGTGCTCAATCTAGGCTCATGTATCTGTTGGATGTATGTGTGCACGCATGACTGCAGGGTTTCCCACCCAAATGTGCGGCGGTAGGTCGAAGATGAACGTGTTCGCCATCACCGGTGACGGGGCTCCGAGCGAGGACGCGGTGAGTTTGGCAGCTACGGCAACCCTATGCCAATGCGTACCTCCCTGGATCCGTCGCTACGACGTTGTGCGTCCCGTACAACAACCGCATCCAGGCCTCAGGGTGCCCCATGGAGTCCGAACAGGGCTACACTGTGCCAGGGATGGCATGCCATATACCGCGCCACGCCGCACTCAATACGTAGTCCGTACCGTACCGTGCCGTGTACCCAACACGAAAACCTGGATTGAAAGGGATTGTATCGGCTCTTGACCATTCTTTGGGACGAGAAATATTCCCCTGGCTTATGAGTGTCTACGGTGGATTTCGGTGGATTTTATGAATGCCTCCTCCAAGACTATATCTGTCGCGCTCTTTGGTACTACTGTAGCGGCGATCCTCATGGCCCGCCCCTTCTTGCACGTTGCGCATAGATCTCGTTAAACATCGCGCGTATTCCTGACCCGCGCCACCCTACCCGCCCTCGTAGATCTTCCAGCACCTTAACAAGCACCCGATCCTTCTCTCTTCTCCTCTGCCTCTGTACCATTCAAAAATACACCCAGGCCGCTACCCCTGTCTCCACGGCATCGCCGTCGACAGATACCGAAACAACACCGCCTCCCACCGACGTGCCGGCGGCGGACGCAACTTCCACCGCTGCACCGCCGACGACAACAATGACTTCGGAGGCTTCATCTTTCCCTGACACCTACATGGGCTGCTACGGTGACGACAAGGGCGACAGGGCTCTGACGTTCGCTTACACCGCCAGCGACACCATGTCCTTCGAGGTATGCAACTATCGAAATATTTTGGGGCGTACTCATAGCCTTGCATGCCGAAGTTGTTAGACACAGTTTCTCGGTTTCTCGGCGCTGGGGGAGAAGAAGCGGAAGACGGCTAAGATTGCTCCACATATCAATGTTGTTCCCATAGTCGATCGCCTCCGCCAGAGACTGCTGCAGTGCCGGGCAGAGAAATGTTGTTTTCAACACGCACCTCAGCTTCGAGAAAAGGGGGCAACGACGAAAATCGTTCTCCACGCTGACATCACCTCAAGTAGTGGGTGTCCCCCCTTTTCCGTAAACGGCCTCGAAAGCTACATACGGTGGGTAGCATAGCGTGTGTTCAATGTTGGCCAACTGTGGCCGTGATCGCTGAATCGATGCTCCGATAAATGCCGCCACACAGCTCTTCTCTACTGACGCCCTGACCCTATTTTGATTGTAGTAGTGTTCATTCCTTCCGGGGGCCTAACCCCCCGAACACGTTGGTCCCTTTGTTATCTCTGCTTGTGGCGTAGGAGTGCGAATGCTTCTGCAGCGCGGCGGGCGCCTCCATCTTCGCCTTGGAGTACGGACGACAGTGAGTCCAGTCGGCCCAATCAACGGACAGCGCATTCCCCCCTGTGTGCCGACTGTGTTGTATGTCTCCACTATTCTCGTGACAACAGCGACCAAATTGACGGACAATCCATGCCCCCCTGTATGCCGACGTGTTTTCTGCTTCTACTACCATTGTTCGGCGTCAACGCATGTACTGCTACGGTGTCACTAAGGGGCATGAGCCGTGCGTAGAATTATTTTTCTAGCTTTGAGAGTGAGAGGTTCACGACTTGGATGGAGGTATTCGAAAAATCGGCAGTGGACTTCCACTATTTTCTTCGTCTAACAGTCCTTGGCTCTCTCTCGGGTGTCGGGTCACCTCACGGTCATTCCTCCCGTATCCCTCCACCGTCCGCGAAATGACGACATCACCAGGTGTTTCTGCGGCACGGACGAGACGGACTTTGAAGCGTACGGCCCGGCGGTATGCGACACTCCTTGTGCTGGCAGCCCCGACACAGTGTGCGGTGAGTTTGGTTGACAGTAGTTGTTCTAACGACAAACGTAGGTGAGTGGTATATGCATGAAGATACAGCCAGGGGGATGGATGGGCAACCTCACGGTCTGGAGGCGGGGGGTGTTGCATCTGCTCGCCTGGTGTGCGCCTTAGAGGGATCTATCTGACTTTAGTCCTCTGTGCCTGACCACCAAATAGAGGCAACAGCCAGGAAGAGAGAATCGTGCCACAAAATTAGGTGTGAACGGTTGGTTCGTCTAGGGGTAGTTCTTCATTCTCACCACCAAAAAACGTCTACTTTCGCGGAAGTATCGTTTAAAACCGAGACAAAACAACGGACATACACATTGGTCAGCCGGTTAGTGCGGTCGATACTCATAAGAAAGACACGCACACACACGCAGCGATAACAACGGTATCATTTGGGAGTGACGGAGATGAAGGAAAGGGAGATGGAAGAAAGGAGGATGAAGGCGATGATTGAGGAGAAAATCATGGCGTGGAAGAGAGCAAGATCGTTGAGCCAGAAAACCTTCCTCACAACAAACGCCGCAGGACTAGCAAGTACCTGCCAAAAGTGGGAATATTGCTTTCTTCATCGTCTTCCCGGTCAACCCCTCAAACCTAACCCGCCTCCGTACACCAGGTGGATACGACGCCATGTCTGTCTACAACATCGAGCCCGAAGCCGCTACAACCCCAACGGCTCCCCCCACCACCGCCTCGCCAATTTACTCGGACGACGAGTCCGAGCCATCATCCTCAGCGTCCTCAGAGAAGGAAGTTTACCCGGACTACATACCGTCATCGGTGTCCACAGAGCCGATATTCTCGGAGGTGCGGCCATCATCGGCGTACTACTACTTCTCCGGCGGCGAACCGAGCTACGACGCCACGGTTGGGAGTCACTTGGGATGCTACCTTGACGTGCGGAACGACCGACTGCTGCGGAGCGACATGACCGAGAGCGAGGACATGACCCCGGCTGTGTGCGGCGCGTTCTGTGGGGAGGGCGGCAGCGAAGTGTTCGGCCTGCAGTACGGCACGGAGTGAGTCATCCTTTGCTGCTGCTGCTGTTGTCGTCGTCGTCATAAGTTGTGGTGATGCTCTCGTGTGTTGTTGCCGTTGTCGGTAATCATTGTCGGTATCGCTGTCTTTTTGTCTCCCTCGATGACGTCACTTTTGTCTTCGTCGGTGGTGGCGATTCTTCTGTGTCGTGTGTTGTCGTTCCTGTTGGTTGTTCAAGGAACCGCTACATTTTTTGTCCCGCGATATCGTCGTGGTTGCCGTCGTGACTCACCACCCTGTCGAACGAACGCAATTGACTATCATCGTCCCTGTCGGCGACGGCAATCGAAATAGGTGCTGGTGCGGCGACCTAGCCTCCTTTTCGGGGGCGGTAGAGGCCGATGACGAGGCCCTGTGCGACTACGAGTGTGCTGGGGATGACACCGTCCGCTGTGGGGGCTACCTGTACGTAGATGTCTACAGGATCGAAACGAAGTAAAACTTGGACACGAGCTGCGGACTAGCCCATTGAAGAAGGGGCGGATCGACTAGATGTTCCGCGTGTCAGATGGGTGATGACGCGAACGTTTTTATTCGACGAAGAACAGCGTTATCGACGTCCTGTTCTCGACGTCCTGTTCTGAAAGTATTGCTTTAGGACAATCGATTCTAGAACAGCAGTCGGGATAAGTCGACTGGGGATGTGAAGGAGTCGACCAAATCCGGGAGCTTCCTGCAGTGTGGTCAACCCTACTTGTTTGTGGCCCATGGTTTGGCGTCGATAGCTCGGAATTTAGGTGTGGACGCTTTTCCCTCCTGCCCCATATCCCGGCTAAGTCGCTTCGGGGAAGGTTTACGAAGGGTTTGGTCCTCTTGCGCGTTGGGTAATAAAATTCATACGTCTCGTCGAGGAGAGTCCCCGCGCCGGCTCACGCAAAGAGTCCACATATTCTTTGATCGGATTGCATGTTGCAAGGCTCAGGAGTATTGACACGCTCGCACATGTATCTGCTGGGTTGTTTTAGCGGTAGCATGGACGGGGTGAGAACCCTTGCGGGTCTCATGGGGGTACATATTGGTCGTCGGTAGTCGATTGGGTAATCTCTAGTCGGCTAGGTTGAAACAAACGGGTCAACTTAACGGTGTGAAGGATTCTCCAGGGTACATATTTTGTCGTATCTTGTCGGTTGGGTTGTTTTAACTGTAGTCGGCTAGGTTGTTATAAACAGGTTAATTTAGCGGGGTGAGATCCCTTGGGTTCTCGCCGGATACATGTATAGCCGAAGTTGGTTGGGGTATTATTAACGGGTTCGAATCTGTTCTCTGTTGAAGCTAAGGGTAGGTGCTCTGTAAACGTCTTGTTGTCAATGAGGGGTGGGATCCCTTGGGTCCCGACTCGAATAAAGTTAGCCTTGCTTGTGCCAAGTGGTGTTGTTGTCGATCCTGGCAGACCCCCCCTGCCTTGATCGGTCATAACGAAAGCACACGATTTGGCAGTTTATGTCTTATATCTTGAGCACATTCATTTGTTTGTAGATGCTGTTGTACGGCTGAAGCCGCGGCATGACTCTGACAAGCCTCGAAGATAGGTGGTGTTTGTTCCTTGCTGTCGTATTTTGGGTCAATTAAAGGTAGGTGTAAGTAAGGGGAGCAGGACCTCCGGTTTTGTCTCGAAAATTTGGTGCTCCGATAGGACAGTGAGTGTATTTAGGGTGCGTTCTAGATGTTCGTGGTCACAGAAAAGAAGATTTGTCTTGTTGTAGATGTTGCCATTGTCGATGATGATGACGTTGTTGTTGAAGGTATTTGTGATGCTGCTTTCCTTTGTGTTGGTGTTGCCGATTTTCGTTACAATGGGTGTTTTCCGCGTGAAACGGGGGCGGATGTTGTCTTTGGTGCGGTTTCTTTCGCGGCGTTGCTGCAAACCTCAACACTTGTGAACATGGAAACAACATGTTTGATGCGCTATCAATGAGGTAATAACCACATGCGATGTGCGCGCAAGCGCGCCTTCGTTGCACGATCGTCGTCTTATCCAAGCACCTGTTTCGGGGCGTCGGCATCCCACGGCGCAAACCCTGGATTAACAATGAGATTCGACTCGTGAGCACGTGTGTACCGTTTGCACATTATCTCCAAGAATAAAAGCGGTGCTGGTGAACTTCTGTTTGGCAGGCAGAGCTAGCTCGAAGAAAGCGTGGGCTGATAGTCCCCTCGCGAGCAATCGCCGGACAGCTATCACTTAGGCTTCAGGCGACATAATCCGAGACCTGCTGAAACGTAGGGGGGGCGGCAACGCCGTCAGGTTTTCCGCCCTTGTACAGTAGTCTCGAATCACCACGTTCTCCAGCCAACAAGTTCGCGTTAACTCCACCGGCCACCCTCGATCTTCCTTTTCCTGCCCTTCGTGCTCATTAGTCATCATCGGCCGATCACAACGTTCCCGCCCACAACCACCCGACGCGATGCGAGTTTAGAGCTCTTCATCCGACAGAGGCCCCGCGTGAACGGCCAGTGTAGTTGACTTTAAACGCATCAAGTGAACTTGAACTCCAATTCGATCAACTTTTGTTGAAAGGTCTAACCAGCAGGGCTTTCAACCCTGTCTTGAAGAACAGCGTTAGGCCAAGACGGACCGTGGAGCACACTGAAACTTGAAACAACATCGATGGAGGGATCTCTCTCTCTCTCTCTCTCTCTCTCTCTCTCTCTCTCTCTCTCCTGCCTGTCTTGCCCAGGTACGTACGTACACACGCGTAGCAGCACGGGCTCTTGCCAAAACACTCACCATTGACTTGACCCCCAACTCCCCCCTCTTCCTTCACCTATTGATACATTGTATTAGTGGCCCCTGTGTTTGGCCACAAACAGTACATGTACTGCCGACGGATTTGTCAGGCCTAAATCCCGGCATCCGGCACAATTAATCATACAGTACAAACCAAGTTGAACATTCATCCGTGTCACGCCATTGCACAGGGCCTTACACGGGGCGACCGGCCTTTTCTATTCGGCCTTGACCCTTTTGTCACTCAAATCTGGCTGGTTGCAAGAGAAGACCCCGAAAATCTGTATCTATAAGGCACTCCGACCGACAAATGAGGGGGCAGTTTGCAAGAGAAGCAGCGTCAGCTCACAGACTTACACCTGCCCGTCACGTGCCCTCAACTCAAGACATAACTCAACGACAGGGATAGCACGGGTTCTTGTCCCCGAGCCCCCTTCCAAATCACGCCGCATGTCCTACTAAATGGGAGCAGGCGCATTCACAACCAACGAGGAGGGTCTCCCACGCTTTCGGAAGTTGATAGTTCGTGTTCCATGGGCTGTCCAGGGAACAACGAATTCTCATGGGCAGCCCATGGGCCCACCGGCAGCGTATGGACCCATCAGGAGCTCATGAGTAATCCCATGGGCTGCCCGTCGTGAGCCTTTATTTCACTGCAATGTTGCCAACGATGGGATCCCCCTGGGTACACCCGTGGGCATGCCCATCATGGGTTGCCCACAAAATACTCACGATGGACAGCGTCCATTGAATTCTCACCATGGGAAGCCCATGGGCAGTCCACCATAAGGATGCCGTAACCCTAACTCTAACCCAAGCACCAACCTTTCAGGTCGTAAAAAAATCGGAAAATAGTTAATACTGACCCATTTCATGTTTCCAGCACGTGCTTGACAGTGTGCCCCCCGCAAAAAGAGACGTGAAACACAGCAGGTTGGTTCCTAAACTATGACGAGACTTCTCGATTTCCCAAAGAAGTGCAAGTAAGACCGTCGACTACTGGATAAATATGCTGGTACAAGATCGTTATACGCACTCACTTTAACAGGACACGCGGGCAGAGGGCCAATTTTCGTTAAAGTTTGCATTGTTGTTTTCACCACCGACGGGGCGCGTTCGCCATGGGCACCCCGTTTCTTTAGCTAGCTCACCATGGGCCGCCGGTGGAAATCCCTACGACCAACAGCCTAAGGGTACCCATGATGGGCGCACATGGAGTAAAACCACCCATTTGTGTGCAAAAATTGAACCGGGAGGGGGGGGGGGGGGCAAGAACGAAATCTCCGGCGAAAAATCAATACAGCAGAAGCGAGGTACCGGAGCACGGGCTGTCCACCACAAACCGCAACTTCTCAAAAGCTCGAGCATGGGCAGGATAGGGGGGACATTCTCCACCTATCAAGCAAAAGGAAGATAACCGGACACCGGCTCTCCTTGAGAAAAGGTTCCGATAACAGCTCTCTTAACCGCCAGGGAAACCTTTGAAGGATTCTCCCTCCTGCCCGCGGCTAAAAACACGGCTCACAGCAGTCTACCCACAGCCGTTCGAGACACGAGCATGCCCAAGACTGGGAGTGACACAAGGGAGTAAGCCGTCGCCCAGCCGGAAGCCGAAGGATGGGCGCTAGCTCGCCGGCCGGAGGAGGATGGCGCCAGCTTCGACCGTTTTCGGGTCCCCAGGTTAAATCCCGCCGCCTCCCTCCTGGATGGCAGGCTCGGCGGGGGCTGAGGTGCGCCCAGCACACTCAGGAGCTCGGCCACCTGAGGCACCGGGTTAGTTGTTGTTGGCGGCGGTGGTAGGTGGTCTTCGTGATTCGCTTGGAAAAGTGAATAGAGAAAACGATCGCTGGCCTCGAGAGTCCATACACCGGACACATCAGACCCCTCCGCAGCTCGAGCTATGCTTGATTGTTTTTTCGAATATTTGTGTCCGTTGTGCCCGGTAGGACAGCCACACACGCAGGTGATCTGTGCGTGGTTTCCCCATGGTGAGCGTCACATCTACCAGAGCTGTGCTCTTCGACGTGGAACAGCTCTCTAAACCCTGAAAAATACAATCTTGCCACACTCACTATCCGTGACCTGCAACCGCGGCGCCTCTTGTACCTAGGCGAGGCTATTGGCAATAATTTCCCCACACAAGAAGCGGTGCCGGAAAGGAAACGGGCATGGAACGGGGCTGCAGCGGTGGTAGACGGAATCTTGTAACTTTTAATAGTTGGCGCAACTCTTCGGAGCACACAAACGCACGGAGCGCACCACGCCCGTGCGCATACCTCTCTCGGCACGATCTGATGGAAGAGCCTGCTGTCGATCAGGAAGGACACCCCCTTCCCACAAAGCAAAACCAATCAATATTTGTGGAGCAACACAGTCGGGGTGAGGGTTGAATCAATCTCATCCTCGAAGGGGTTGACATGAACGAAATCTGAGTGTGCACACACCTCTATCGGTACAATCTTGTGGAAATGTCTCCCGTCGCCCGGGATCGACGCCCACCCCTGCCCCTCCACTATCCTAGCCGCGTCCACGAGGGGCACCCCCAGACGGGACATCACCGCCCGGGCTCTCCTGAATTTCCGGCGCAAAAGATGGAGTATGTGGTGAGGGGTTTGGTGCAATGCCAAGCGGTTAGGTGGGTGGAGATCCTGAAGGGGGATCCGCTCTGCACATCTGCGTACGTTCCATACCCTATTTGCACCCGTACGTCTAGGGAGCGAGAGAGAGAGAGAGAGAGAGAGAGAGAGAGAGAGAGAGAGAGAGAGGGAGAGAGAGAGAGAGAGAGAGAGAGAGAGAGAGAGAGAGACAGGCTCAAGGCGAGATAGCAAGATGTTGTTAGCTGTGGTGGTGTGGCGGTTTTTCGTGCATTGATGACATCGGATATGACATTTGGTAACAATGAAGGCTGACAGAGCAACTATAACCTCTAGCGTTTTCTCCGTAGCAAACAACTGCAAATACCACCAATCCATTCTCTCGTCTAACCAACGCTTAGCCACTACTTTCAAACTCTTTTCTCCCCCCTCAGCGAACCTGCTCAGCTGCAGGGAGCCCCGTCGATCCAAGACGGCCTCCTCGCAGTAGGTGTCCACGGTAAACATCCCATGTCCCTCCGGGTGGATCATGTACTCGGCAAGATCGGGGGTTCCGTGCCAATCGGAATAACTATAATTGCCGTGGGTGTTGTTGACTGAGGCAGCCAGCTTCACCTGGGTGTTGTTCTGCGCACAAGACAGCACGAGGGGGGTAGCGGGGGGTGAGACGAAGAAAGAGGAATTTACTGGTTTAGTTTATCGTGTTGCGCTAACCCGTCATGCTCCTGGTGCTGTTCAGACTGTAGAAAAAAAATGTCTCCTTGCAGCATGCATGCACTGCAGACATCGCTTTACACGGAAATTGTTACCCGAAGAAATGAGGCCGGGGGTGTCCCCCGATGTTAAGGAGAGCCCTTTGTTGAGAGGGTGAGGCTGAAAATTTTCACTATCGGACAAAGAATTCGTGTCGTGAGATACCGCTCGGTGTTGTTGGCCGAGTAGAACCGAGAAGAGAAGGCCTCGACGGAACCTAATTGATGAAACAGTTGGACGAACTTCAGCATTTCACGCGAGAGCAACCACATACCCGGGCGGACAACAATATTGAGCATGAATCTCTTCACCAAGTGTGTGCCGTACCGCGGCCCGGCCCTATCTGGCAGTGCCTTGCTTTCAAGTCCGCACCTAGCTGTGATCTCCCACCGCACACGTCAGTTTCAAGCCACTGTACTTTCATCATGGCGGAGAGAATCGGGGCGTGAAAACCCCGCGCATGCGTGTCTGAGGCAAGAGGACGAATAACCCCTGAGGTGCCTTGCTTCGGCGGATGATTTGCATACGCGGACCGCAATCATGCGCACACGCACTGGCGCACGCATGCGTACCTGGTGTTGGCATTCCGCCCGGATGGTGGCGTTTCCCTCTCCTTCTCTGTAGGCTGCGCGGATAAGTTTGTACACCCCTTCAAAGAGCTGGTCGGCGATGGCGTGATTCGTCATGAAAATCAACCTACGAACGTACAGAGGAGAGAGACAAGAGCAAAACGGCCAAGTTGTTGTCATAGGCAAAGGCGAAGCGGCTGTCCTTACGAAGAAATAACAGCCGCTATACGTTGTTCAAGTCCGACGCAGAAACAAAAAAGACCAACAGCCGCCGTAAAAAGTTGAACAGGAGGCGCGGTTTCGCGCCCTACTATTCCGACGATTTTCTGGTTTCGAAGGCGTGTCAACGAAGCGTCCGTTTCAATCAACAACCGCGGCACATCTAAAGGAGGCTGACATCGACAACGACGTTGATTGCAACAGCAGTCTCCCTGGCGGCAGCATTGTAGCTCGTGGTGCGTTGTCAACGTGGCAGAATCGTAAACCGGGCGGGTCCGACTCAACCATTGCGCGTCCGACTCAAGCAGTGCGGGTCCGACTCAAGCAGTGAGAGAAAAAGAGGAAGAACACATGGATAGAAAAATCTGCTGCCAGGAAAAACGCGAAATAAACCGCAGACCACGATGAACCGCATTCCTCTCGCTCGTGTTGGAGACAGAAACTTTCGCTCAAAACTCCCGTGTATCTATAGCCGTGCTCCCCTGCTACAACCCCGGCTTGTGCATCTACCAAAAGATGCAACAATGAAAGTCGGGCTGGCCACAGAAACACTATCAAGACCCGACAGAAGCGCGTGCAAGGAAAGTTCTGTTGTAGAGCAAACGAGCCTGAAGCATCGACTACACACCTGCGCATTCGCCCGCACTCTTATCACGGTACGCTGTACGTCCTATGCAAATGAAAACGAGACTAGGCTATGTTCTCAGGGATTTCGTCCACTCACTTCACATTCTGTCCGCTTTTCTTCCGAACAGCCTGGACTACTCCCTCGAGGAGACTCTCGTAGTTCAACCACCTGATGCGGGGAAACAGAAACACGTAGCATGAAATATAAGGTCATGGAGGGCCGAGGTGCGGGGTACAACGTAGTGTTCAACCTTTTCGTTCACCACGCATTCCGTAAGAGCGATATCGCACCGTGACCCCCCTCTTTCAAGTAGACTGACCGCCACGGATAGCGAGTGTTCTTTATCCTGCTGCCGAACGGAGCTATTAAGCGCGTGTGTGGTTGGCGCCAAAACCTCTAGCGACAGAGCCAGCCAACCCAAACAGGCTCCCGTTCGATATCTCCATACGGTACTGGGAATACGACACGGGATGATGCCCCCCCCCCGCACAAACCACCCCCGTTGGAAACATGTTGCGGGTTAACAAGAGCCCAAAACACAAAATCTACGCCCAGATCAACCAAGCAAATACGGCCACATAAGATGCCATTCCCCCCAAACACATACTCAGTGTCATTTTGTAGAAGCAAGCTACGATGCCATACTTGTATGTCTCTCGGGGTTTGTGGGGAATTAGGCAATCATACCCATCCTTGCCGTCGATCGCCGCATCTTCCTCCCGACACGGCCCTTCCTTCTCTTCAACATCACGGGACTATACCCTGAAAAGCTACCCTGATGTGCACATGCCTCCAGTGTGAACATTTCTCCATAAAAGTCTCTCTCAGAATCAATATTCAAGGGGCTTCGCAAACCAACATAGCAAGGGGAGGCGGGGGGTCTCGCGGCGCGGCGGCGCCAATCCGGCACCCAGCAATACGTACCGACCGGTCGAAACAAGGGGTCGCATCTGTTGTTGTTGAGAAGCACGATGACGACTAGTTGCTGTTGCCTCCACGATAAACTGCCCATGAATCGATGTGTAATTTCCATCATATTCCTTGTGGCAGCACACTCATCGCAACATACTACACGAGCTTGGTTCAGAAACAAAACGGTCTGTCCCTAGCCCTAACAACCCCAGCCCTAACCCTAACAACCCCAGCCCTAACCCTAACAACCCCAGTCCTAACCCTAACAACCCCAGCCCTAGCCCTAACAACCCTAACCGTATAATCCGAATGTCTCACGATTGCACTCGTAGCGGTTCCATGGGGTTCATCTCCGGCCAGTGGGGCAACATGTGCAGCAGGTGGAGACCGCTGCCGAAGTAGTAGGCGTCCACGGACGTCTCCCCCGCCCGCTTCGGGTCAAGGAAGCGCAACTGGTCAAGCTCGAAGCAGAGCCCACGCCCTCCTCCTTCCTCCTTTCGCAAGGTATCCATGCAGCAGCCGGGATGGCCGTATTGCGCTCTCTACCTCGGGTGAAGTAAAACATGTGCAGCGAGGAGAACCAACACCGGGCCTTTGAGAACAATCTTGCAGAGTTCGGAAACAAGCGCGACGCCAAGAAGGTGATGCCCTGGCTGTGAAAAATATATCAAAACACCGTACGAACGGCCAAATCTCTGTGTAACAGGTGCACATTAAACACAGCACGGCCGCTTGTACTCCAAAACCGTGATTTGTTTTGCTGACACACTGCACTGTCTGTCTTGTTGATCGAATCCAAGAAATGTCTCAACGGACACCTCTAATGCGTTGCATACATTTTTCTCACACGGTAATGTGTGAAACAACCGTAGCACAGGAGGCTTGACAGAGGGATAGACATAAGCACGCGCCCGTGTCCCACAACGATCATTCAGAGTAGATACAAGACGAGAGAGAGAGGGAGAGAGAGAGAAAAGCGTTCGCAAAATAACCACGATCCTGGCAACAATCGTTGTGTGCGTGTGTGCGTACAGAAGCACAACAGACCCCGCAGGAATAGCGAGCTGCGGAGAGAGTCGTGAACGCAAGGATGATTGATGATGAAAGAAGCAACAACAAAAACTGCGAAGGGGCTCGAACGAACACGAGTAGTGCAAAGTAGCAGCTTTGGTAGGCACATGCAGATACCTCTTGTTGCTACCGTTTCTGTCTTTCATCCGGAGAGGACATTAGCCTCCCCCATGGCGCGCCTCAAGGGGTCGCAGACCATGGCCTTTCGAACCATTTTCTGCTTTCGCGGCACTGAAACGAACGTCTTTTCATTGGTCAACCGGTTAGCGCGGTCGGTGTAAATATTTGAAGGCACACATGCTCACCCTGGGGTTATATCGTCGCCCCCCTCTCTCGCCCATGAAGCCGCAGAGGGCGCCGTACTGGTGCCTCATTGTGCTATCCCCGACCATCAGGACGCGGAAGGGTTGCTCCCTACGCCCTCCCTGTTGGTTCTCCACGAGGGCGGCGAGCACGTCAAGCTTGGCCTGCATGACGTGGTTCCTGGACATGTATTGTGTTTTCGGTGAGCACACTGAGAATGTTTCGCCTGTGCTACTGATTTCTGCAACGTTCGGGAAAAACACAATAACCAGTTTTAATTTGGCGATGGCAAGCATGGCATACCCTCCTTTGCGAGAGACACGTACTGTACGTGGATGTTCCTGCGGTTGGTTGTGGCACTGGAAACGACCTTTTTTATTTCACGTCCTTCTTTCGTCTTTGCGATCATCTCCGACAACACCACCACCGACATCGCTACTGATGTTACCTCAGCAGCAACGTCACGATCGATGTCCCTTCCAACAACGGGAGTAGTGGCACTATGACCGGCACGAGCTTCAACAACGACAAACACGACATCGACAATACCGTCATAGGTATCCCCTCCCCCTCCTCCTCTTCTTCTTCCTCCTCCTCCTCCTCCTACCAAAATCATTGTCGTCGTTATCATCACCATCGGGGTGAACTCGGTAAAGTCAACCGCAACAACAACCACAACAACAACAACAACAGCCTACTACTGTAGCTGGCGGTACTGTAGCTGGCAGTTTACCCACCAAGGTTCGAACCAGGCATTGCCGTCCTCGCTTGTAAGATACTTCTTCCAGTGCGCTCCCTCCATCATCGCTTCGTCTCGAAACACCTGCCACGACCGCAGATGGTGTGCAAAGGTGAACGCAGCCCGAGCGTATTCATGTATGTAGCGCCCACCGTGTCTCCCGATGAGCAGACGTACGTGTGTGTGGTTGTTTCGTCCCATCCGGGCACCAGTACTGCGCAGCAAACCAAGATTCCAACAGTCCTGAAGTGCAGCGCAAAACTATACGTGGCTCAAAAATATTTTGCCCTCGCCAATCTATCCTATCGATATCACTTCCCGCCTGTTCCACCCATTTCCTATGCCCCGGTACAGCTACCGTCAACTCCTGGCTATTCGATGCGTCCAACATCTCTCTGTATCTTTTCCTTCTAACTTTCCCAGCTCAGGCATGTGTATTTTCCCTCTCCTTCTTGTACAACGGACATTCCGCAAGTACATGAACACGGTCTCCGCACTCGGAGCCGCATTCCCATCTGGATTTGTCCCTTCATCGTCTACATTTCTTACTCTTCGTCTACGTTCTCAGCACCAGTCCATTTGCTACACGTTTCGGAATCAAAGCAGTTCGACCAGCCGGGGTCACACTTACGTTTCTCTTGTCCCACCTCCGCCCCCTGCGGTGCTTGCCAATGATACTTCGATACGGACATCACCCAAAAATGAAACTGGACCACATAGGTTCGCACGAACAACCAGTGCCGAACTACTCAAGGCAGAACGTCGAGCGACGCTAGCGAAAGAGTGACACCGAATAAGATTGAAGCCCGACTCCCTGCCCTGAAAACGTTCATTGACCACGAAAACACAGTGCAACTGCCACCCCATAGAATGCCAATTTAGACCCCAGGATGCGATAGAATGTGAAAGGTGTGCATCGATTGTGATGGTACAAGTCAAAATAACCGTACCTTGGAAATCGGATTCTGAGTAGAAAGTGGGGTTATTGGCAGCGAACAGCACGTACTGTACGTGCCTTGTGCGCGAAGGTTGTTTCGATGACGTGAACATTCAGAGTGCATTAAAAACGTGTACCTACCACGTAGCGAAACAGGCGATCGTGTTAAGGAGGACCCGATTCGCAGGGTACCCGTCGATTGACTTTTACCAGAATCGGTACACCTTCCTTCACATAATGCGTCAGCAGGATGATACTGGTTCGAATCTCCTTGGATGTCCATTTTTCTCCTTACTTGGACATTTTCCCATGGACACATCCGTGTGTCAGTCCCGAGAGCACCTCTTGGAGTCGATCCTACAAAGAACCTTGTGACCCTTTCATCGAACTACCCGTCCTGGCCCCACTTGGTTCCCATTTGATTAAGGGTAAATTCTGTGGGTGGAGAGTGTTAAGGAGGACCCGATTCGCAGGGTATCCGTCTATTGACCTTTACTAGAATCTGTACACCTTCGCAGTCGGGCCTCAAAATCCCAGCAGAGCTTCGAAAAGGTACACGGTTGCATGTAGATGGGGTCGGGTGCACGCAACGATCGTCATTGAATACACAACGAGAGCACAAAAAAAATACATCACGAGGTTGTTCGCGTTAGCCGGTCATCGTTCACATACGGCTTCCCGCATTATGGATCCCATTGGCCGCGCTCGAACTTACCCATTTCAGCAGGTCCAGAAGCAACATCAGGCCCAGAAGCAACAACAGGCCCAGAACGAACCGCAACGGCTGCATGCCTCCTTCACCCCTCACCCCCCCCCGCTCCTTCGACCCCCGGTACTTTAGGTGAATGATGTTGTCGCGATCTCTCAGCCCTCGGTCCGCACCTGGTTGCAGTTTGGGTGATGCATTCGTCGTCAAGAATGACAGCGGAGTCCCAAAAAAAACATACACATAAGATAGACCATGCGCAGGCTTGCTATCGAGAGAGAGAAGGTTAAGTCTTGACCCGAGGTCATTTCTACATATGGCGCTTGCACTTAAGGCAGTTAAGAAATGCAGCCTCGAAAATTTCAGAATGTGAAGAACTTACCGTAAGAACACGTCCTCAGTTCCGACTTGGGGTTTAAGAACAAGAATCCGCATTTGTGGTGTAACAACGCACATGGCAGATAAGAACAGACCCCCAAAATGCGGCAGCTGCAAGATAAGAACTCATGAAGGTGGTGAGGGGTAACTCACGGGGTGTCCGGTGCCCCACCCACCAATAGTTTGAGATCAGCGGCGAGGAGGGGAACTCCGTTTCAAATAATACTGATGCGGAGGGGGGGGGAGGGGGCGTACTCTTATATTTTACATATCTTAGCGGTTAGATCATTGACCACGCGTCCTCGAGAGGACGAAACATTGTTCCCGCAGGACCTAAGACCGATGGCCAATCGCTCCTCCCTACTTTGCCAAAGGTGTCTCAACAAAGTTGTCCCTAGCCTATCTATATATCCTATCGATATCACTTCCCGCCTCTTCAACCCACGTTCTATGCCCCAGTACAGCTACCGTTTTCTCCTGGCTATTCCATGCGTCAAACATCTCCCTGTATCTTTCTTCTACTTTTCCCAACTCAGTCATGTACAATTTCCTCTCCTACAACAGACATTCCGCAACTGGATGAACCCGGTCTTCGTACTCGGATCCGCGGCCACATTTGAACGTGGTCGGTGTGGGGGGTAGTAGGTGCTTAGTTTTTTTTTTACAAGGAGTGACGTTGGGGTGCCTACCACGCTGCGCGCCACGCACGAGAGCCATGTACTTACCCCTTGAAACATTGAAGGAGCTCGGTCAACTGTCAAAGTTGAAAGGAAGCGGTGTCATTCTTGATCGACGGTTACTTCGACCACCGAAGAACATGCCATTGCTGGCAACTGCCCACGAGGTCAGATTGGGAGACCATCGAGTCGACGCAGGGGCGACGAATGCTTGCCGACACCTCTTCCTTGGTCGCACCCACAGGCTTTTCGAATTCAAGCGTCTAAACTCGCTGCTCTTGACAGTTCGTTGCTGCAGTGTGGAGTACTCGTTAAACCGAGCATGGGCTGGTTCGGCGAGCTGATCACTTGGCAGTCTCAGGAGCCTACGCGCCACCTTTAAGCCAGACTACCGTATGCATTTATTTCGAGCTAGACCAAAGTACGCGCTGCATGAAATTGCTGTTGGACAAGTAGTACGGTGGAGATGCGGGTGCGGTGGTAAGGTCGTGGACTCTGCTTGAGGGGGGCGCTGTAGAGCAGGGAGGAGGGCCGGCCATCGGAGACCGGGTGAACTCGCAGTGTAGCTACGTCGGGCGTTAGTCGAGCGGGAGGACACTCACGCCGAACGTGGCCCTTGTGGGCCTCTAAATGGTTCAATGTGTACTGTAGCTCAGATGCGTCAATATTTCAGGCGATGCCGCATTTGCATTTCTACCCTACTATATGGTGATCGCGCAAGCTGCGGTACGTCGGGTCCAGAGGTGTCGTAGCGACGTTCTAGACTACTTGTAGTATACTCTGTTTCACGAACGAAGTCGCTGCTCTCAAGTGTCAGGTTGAATCCACCCAGAAAAAACACCCGGTGTCCTCTGAATGGGGCCCTCGGCGTAGAGATAAGAACAAACCCCGTTTTATATAGAATACGGATATGCCTGCCCGAAATAAGAACTTTGAAAATAAGAACAGGTGCTTTGAGGCAGCTAATAATACGCATGGAGCCTCGGGTCAACATAAATATAAGCGGTTCTTTAAGTGTGGGCGCCATCTGTTGGGCTGCATCTGTTGTAGTCTTGTCATCGCAGAGAGGATGAGTTCATGAATATTTTGTACGGCGCGTGAGATGTTCTCAAATAATTTTCTTCCTGCTCTCCTGCTCTCGCGTATTTTGGTTTTGGGGAGAGAGAAAAGGTGCTGAAAGGGTACTTGAGTATTTGATAACTATTTTCTGTAAATAGAGATGGATTCGTTGTGTCATACCACCATATATATAGAAAAATAAAAAAAATCATCCGCTTTTGATTTACGCACCAAGATTTACCTTGTCCGCCGGAACAGAGCAGCAGCAGTGACAGCAGCAGCCGCGCCTGTACTTTGTATCGAAGTGCAAAGCAGTATAGCTGCAAGATGGACGACCTGCTGACACTGCTGCAGTGGTGTTCCCCGTGTACGGTTGCAGCATACATACCACTGCCGCACGGACTTTTGGTCGGCCTTGCACGGGCACCCACCGGAGGCTGACTGGCGTGATGGGAACCAGAACGACTTTGAAACGTTCAGGGGCTTCCGTCTCACGCAGCCAACCAACCGTGCACAATAGAACATTTATTTCGTGCTCCACCGACTGCCCCGGAGAGTGGAGGACCCGAGTCGCAGGAGACGTCTACTCTGTAGAAGCAGATACATGCATGGTGACGTTGCGACCACGAAGTTTCTCCCCTGAAGGAGGCAAGAGTACCCCATATGGTTGAAAAAAAGACCATTTTTTTTTTTTTTGTCTTTACTTCAAATCAGCGCTCACAGCACTAGTGCCGTTTACTCCAACCCGTGGTCACACAGAAGAGCCCCTCTCTCTCTACCCTCCCCTCCTGCGGTAGTACTTTGCCTTTGATTTTTAATGCGAGAAGAGTTCAGCACTCTCTTCCCTCTGTGTACACACGAACTAGCGCTATCCACTGGGCCTGGAGCGGAGGCGAGAGAAAAACTCACTTTGCAAGAAAAGCTCGCTTACGCCGGTATTATTCGAACCCCTGACCTGACCTCTAGAAGGTTCCGAGGCTACCAACTAGACCACCGGGGCGACCATGCTGTGGTTGCTTGCCCAGCTTGCGGTACGCTCTAGTCTACTGTTGTAATCCACAAGCCTTCACTCACACACCTGCCTGTCGGAGGGAGGCTTTCTCGCGTGCCAACCTCTCGTGCGCTCGCCTCTCAGTCGCTGCTTGGTGTGTCTCCACGAACCACAAATACCCGGAGACCACTTTGTGTCGTGTACTTCGTATCGAGATTTAAGGAATAATAAAAACACACACAGAAAGACTACCCATTCGAGATATACCCACAGTCGAACGAGATACTCGACGAGAAGCGGGATAACTTTTTCGCATGCATACGTTGCACCGTTTCATCAGAATCCAGAATCCAGAGCCCTGTCAAAATCACGAAAACCAGCAGAACCGGCGGCGATAAACGCGAAAGTGTCGCCCGGTGCCAATGAAACAGCGGAGCAGGGCACTGGTGCTGTTGGTGATTGGGTGCTTTGGGCAGCAGGGTAGAGCCGGGGGACTCTGTCTTACAAAACGACGGCTTAGCATGATCGTGCATCCACGTACGTACGAGACCCAACGAACCTTGGGATACCCGAGGAAATTCCTGGGAAGCATCTGAAAGTTGGGACTTGTTGGGACCACCGCCATCCACGTATATCGCAGATCGTCTCAAGTGCTCGTATGCGTACCTCTCGCTGTTGACTTCTCTATATAGTAGACGACGACGACGACGACGACCTCCGAACTCTTTCTTGCCCTGTTTGCTGCGATAGACTCGCCAGCGTCCATGCGCTACCCATGTGATGTCCACATCGTGTGGGCACTCACATGCATGCCCAATCATCATGTGCTGATGGCTGCCCACCGAACTGGCTTGTTGACTTGTTGAGCCTGTCTGTGTTGTACCCTCAGGGGCGATATACCACTAAATAATGGTACCAATTTAGACCACCGGGGCGACCGACTCCATTAATTAGGAGGGGACCCAAAAAGAAAAAAGTCCATCCGTTGACAGGAAAGGTGACATGTATGCACTGCTGTATGCACATGCATAATAATAATATCATACGAAGATCAGCGTGCTCTGTACCTACCTCTCTGCCTGCCTGTTCTGAATTATGTTGTGCCCTGTACATGTATATCTAAAACTGCGTATTATAGTAGGTTGTAGTTCAAGCTGCTAGCCTATTACTGTGCTGGTGGTTGCTTCAAAATAATAAGCTGAACATCATCCAGCAGCAGCACAGCAACACCAGCACCATCACCATCAGCAGCACCAGCAGCGCAGCAGCAGCAGTATACTGTACTACAGAGTACTCTGGCTG